TTCACGACATTGATGTCATTTGTATCGAGAGGTTTCATGGGTAGACCTAGTGGGGGGCAGGTTATGAATTAGTGCCTTATACTATCATGCTACCTTACTGACGAGTAAGTGTGGGCGGGTTCTGGTCGCTATTCGTACTGTCACGTTGTCCTTGTTTTGTTCTTTGATTTGATCTGTGATGATCTTGGAGTTCTTTTTGGGTTGTTTTTGGATCCGTATGATGGTTCATCAAGAGAAATGCTTACGGTTGTTGTCTTCCGTTCCTTTGTCTGGCGTTGGGTTCTGTGAGTGACCTTTGACTTGTCGTGTGGCCATGCGGTCATTTTTCTTTTGAGAGGTTGTCCAGTCGTAAGCACATGGGTGCAAATATCACTGGCTTGAGCGTTGTCTTTTAGCCTTGGGGTTGTTTTCGTTGCATGTTGTTTAGGGTACTCAGAGATGTACTCCGTAGTTATCCTAGTTTTTCCTTTTGTTTTGTTGAAGCTGGATTTTGGGGACAAAATCCTTGTAAGGTGGGAAGGTTGTAATGACCTGGTCATTTTCTTCATTTTCCCTTTTTCCTCAAATTTTGCGGATAAATTTTTTCTATTGTCTTTCCTTTTCTGTGGATGGTTTTTCGTCACTTAGTATCATCTCGAGTGCTCAGAATTGGTTTCTGAGACTCCTTCATGTGAATTGACAACTTCCTTTGACGACCGAGTCATTTTTGCATTTTTCGTTTTTAGACACTATGCGCTATTTCGTCTTTTCCCTATTCTGTCATTTTCCTTATTTCGTCTTATCTCCGTTTGTCAGCTTTTGGCACAACCTCACTTCTTGTGCTCGGAGTTGGTTTTTAACTTCAAGTATCCTTCTCGTGAGTGATTTCCACGAAATGCGTATCTTTACTTTTTCAGAAAAGTACTCTGGTTGCTCCCGGTGTCCATAGGGGCATGGATGCATAAATCTTTAGAATTAATTTCTTTTCTTGGGATATTTTTCGTAAATATCTTTTGAAGATATTTTATTTCAGAAGTATCTAAGAAAATATCTTTTGGAAGAAATTTTCATTCTGGGGTAGTTTCGCAGTTAACCCTTTTTGTAGGGGCCATTGTGTAATTAAATAAAGTTATTGCAAAATGTCTCGTCTGCAGCCTAGATCCTCGTACGGGATTCATTTTCACTTTTTGTTAACTTGTAAATTCATAGAATTCCGTTCTGGTCATTTTTCTCCAGTTTCAGAGTTTCTGGACCCGGTTGCAGCCGAACTTGTTCGGGGCATAACTTTCTGCTCGGGACTCAGTTTTCGACGTCGTTTCTTCCACTATTCATATTTTCTCATTTTAAATTTTTTTCTTTCATAGATTTTTGCCGTTTGAGCATGTTTGCTCAAAATTCACTTTTCCGGACCTGACGGGGCCCTTTCGGGGCACTTTTTGTGATTTACTATAAATAGGTGCCTTAAAGAAGAAAAATCAATTTTTTTTCTTCTTCCACCTCTCCTTGCACGACCAAAGGCAGCCATGGATGCCCATGGAGCTGCCATCTTCTCTCTCCTCCTTTAACCTACTTTTCCTAAGTGAAAATCCTTCGGCCTTTGCATTTGTTGCCCGCCTCGTCGTGCTCTACCATTAGCCCTTATTAGAAACCATTTATAACCAAATTTTGAGTTTGGGATTTAGGCCAAGTTTGGATTTTCATGGGGCTTCTTGGAGATTCATATAGATCGGGTTGTCCCCGACAAAACCTAGGAGTTTCTTCGGATTCGGAGCTGTTTCGTTTTGATGGCTTTTGAGATTTTCATCTCAAATTGAGGTAGGGGTTGTCTTAAGATTATATTTCTGTTGTATTCATGATTATATATGCTTGTACAACTTGTATGCATGTTTTGTATAAATCTTGAAATTTAATTTTAATTAATTTCTTAGTAAATGATTTAATGCTCAAGGATATGTATGACTTGGAATTGAAATGTAACATGCTAGGAAATTATGCTTGGATATGTTGGTTAACATATATTAAATTTGGCTCATTTGATTAAGAATTACAACTTTTATTTAATATTTATCTTTAGTGAAAGTTTAATTCACATGGTTGTATCAAGCATGAAATCAAGTTGTAATGTGGTATTTAAATAGGCCTTGGCATGTTCTCTAACATAGATTAAATTGAAGGCATTTGGAATTGTTTAAAAATCTAGAGTAAATTAATTAATTAGCTTGATTAATTTTGTTTTAAGTGCTTTAATCAATTAAATTGTTATTTGATGTTGTATATGTGATGACCATGACATGTCCTTCAATATATATTAAATTGAGGTTATTTGGGATTAACTTGGGATTTAGAGAATTTAACTATTTATGTTTAATTAAATTCTATTTTATTACTCCATGGATTTAATTGCATTTTGGAAGTTGTTTTTATATTTAAATCATGGATTTGGATTTGGTGTATGTTCACTTGATTACTTTTGAGCATTGGATAACATAGTTGTTACTTTTATATGCATGAGAATATGTTTTTCCTTATTGAATATATTGTTGCTATGTGTAAGGAATTGCACACTTTGTATTTGACATCTTTCATGCCATAGTAGTTGTAGACTTTAAGCATGTATTGTATAAGTTTCCAAAATTGGATTGTGCTTGGTAAATAATTGATATCTTGTATATACATGTTGATATATATATATACGTTGTTGCACAATTTGTTGATTTTGGAAACTTGGGGATGTCGTTATTTGGCTACGGCTAGGACTTGGTTCTAGTACGGGGAATTATCCCTCTATATAGTCTAGTGCGCACATAGGGAGGTTACCCACGGGCTAGTAACCCTAAAGTAACTATGTTGTCGATCTGATCCGGCGTAATGTCCGAGTATCCACTTTGTTTGATTTCGTATTTCATTTCAAGTCGATAACTACATGATATCGTAACTTGTTGTTCTTTATTTGATTTCCCATTTTAAGTTGCAAGATGTTAACTTTGAGAAATCCTACTTTAAGCATTGTATTGGAAGTTTCAATATTGGTTAAATTGCTTCGATATCATAATTTGTGTTTTGATGTTCAAATGTAGTTTAGGAATGATCCTATAGATTCACTTTGAACATAGACGTTAGGTGGCATGACCCATTCTTGTTGTTTTCGTATCTTGGATTTCAAGTTGAAGACTTTGAGAATCTATATCTTGTTGCTTTGTATAACATGTTTCCATGTTTGAATTGCATGAACAATGTAATTACGCTAGAAATATTTTAAGGTAGCTTAGGATGCTTCTTGAGTCTCATTTTGACATAGACGTTAGGTGGCATGAACCCCTTTGATATGTTTCACCTTAAGGTGATAAAATTGTAAAATGCTAGGTTGATGCATGCTCATCTCCTACGAGTAGCTTTATATTACTCACCCCTACGATACTGAGGCATATTTCAGGTACAGGACTCAAGACTTGAAGATTTCATTGCCTTGGATCGTTTGGTAGCCTTATGTATCAAACTTGTATTCTTTGATTCTACGTATGTAAAGTGTACATAAGTACACTCCTTTTTAATGAATTTTACATGTATGACATGAGGCCAATGGCCATTAACTTGAAAGGTTACAAGTATGTTTCCTCTAAAACTCATGTATTGCCATTGTAGCTTATTTGTGAAAAATGGAGGCTTTGTATGCTAAAACTTGTTAATGGAATGTAAAGAGGCTTTAGGCCATGTTGGTATATCTATTTTATCATATTGCATGGACTTGCATACTCACTTTGGCAAACAACACCATCCTTGATGAAACAAAAACTCTAAGTAGCATTTTTAGGGAGTTTTACCCTATTCTATTCTCAAAATGGGTTTTCTTCATTTTTCTCATGAGTCACATAGAAAACTCAATTTTGAGGGGGGTTTTTTCTCTGTGTTTTTCCAGAAAATGCCATCTTGGCCCTCAAAAATCCATATTTGTCCAAAAAATCCTTGCTGCGAGGTTTTACAGATTGTTAGTGCAAATGTACTTGGTACTATTCATCGACTTTTTTTTGAAAAGTGTGACGACCGATCCAAAACTTCCGGGGGTCTTGTGGGTGTATTTGAAGATTGAATTTTTAATTTAGGCAATTTAAAAACCTCCCGAAGCCCTATTTCCTTTCCTTGGGCAGCAGCTCGGAGAAATTTTTACCCCCTTGATCTGATTTTCTTGAGGGCATCCTGGGCATTTTACAATGCATTTTTTTTTTGTTTCCGTTCATGCTCGGGGTAGGAAATTCAATTTTAGGGGGGGGTTTCTTCTTTGATTTTTTCCTGAAAAGTCCGTTTAGATACCCGTTTTTACTCTCAATTGCAGCAGTAGTGGGCTGTCCTCTTCGGGCCACCACGACGTCATTTTTGTTTTTGACCTTTCTCCTTCGTCCGGACTCCGAATAATGAAATTCTTGAGTCCATTATGTTTAATTTTTCATTGTCTTCCCAATGGTGTGCTCGATAGCACTTGAATCCACTTTTACAAAATGACCATTTTGCCCCTAGGTTCCTTTTTGTCTATTTTTTAAACGACACTTCCGCATTTGTTTTCCTTTGGGTTCCATGACCTCATTGAGGGTCACATTGGTGTCTTAGAGATGCATTGTATCTCTAGAGACCGTTGTTTCACCTATCGCTTCCACATTTTGGATCCATTATTGGATTATCTTTTAGTCATCACTGACGCACCAGGTTTACAAAACTTGGGCCGTCACACGAAATGCTTAAGCGAAAAATAAACCAATGTCTCTAAGGACATAAATCATCCCTAAGACACCAATGTGACCATTAATGAAGTCACAGAACCTAAAGAAAATGAAGGAGCAAACGAGAGTCAAAACGAGCAAAATCCGTTAACTATGGATAAAATGGTTAATTTACAACTAAGAAGGGAAATCTGAGCCTAAGCAAGTCAAATAAGGTCCACACAACCTAAATTAATCATTTCACAACATTCCAAGAGGTTCTAAGAACTTTGGACAAGAATCCCACAAAACGCCCTTTCCCAATTTTAGCTAAGAAACCACATTAGAGCCAAGAATATAACAGCAACTAAAGGTACTTTTTATGTCAGGTAAAGATCCACCCCAATCAACATTTGAGAAGGCTGCAATAAATATTGAGGGTGAGAAAATATAGTATAGACCATATGAAATGGTGCCCTTGACATATCTGAGAATTCTTTTAGCAGCTTGGAGATGAGAAGCCTGTAGATTACTTAGAAATTTAGCCACTAAACCCATTGAGTACATTATATCAGGCCTTGAAGCAGTAAAATATAGCGAACTACCAATGATTGACCTGTAAAGTGTTGAAGGAACTTCTTCAGTGGTGCACTCCAGTGAGAGTTTGGTATTAGGACATAGTGGTGCTGAGACAGCCTTACAATCATCCATTTTGAACTTTTTAAGTAGCTCCGAGGCATACTTTTGTTGAGAAACGAAGATTCTATTGCAAGTTTGAGTAATTTGCAGGCCTAAAAAGTATCTGAGAGTCCCCAGTAGTGACATTTGAAACCTTGTCTTCATGAGATTAGCAAATTCTGAAGCTAATGATGTGTTTGAGCCACAAAACATGATATCATCAACATAGATTTGCAGAATTAGAAACTATTCTTGATGTGTTTTTACATAAAGAGTATTATCAACCTTGCCTTTGTGAAATCCTTGTTTAACTAAGAACTAATGCAGCTTTTCATACCAGGTTCTGGGGGCTTGTTTGAGACCATATAGAGCCTTACTTAGTTTGTAAACATGAGAGGGAAACTCTAAATCTTCAGAGCCTTCAGGTTGTTCCAAGTATACTTTTTCATTTAGGTCTCCATTAAGGAAGGTAGACTTAACATCCATTCGGTATACTTGGACTAGTTTGTGGCAGGCAAAACATAGAAGCATTATAATGGATTTCATTCTTGCAACTGGAGAAAAAGTTTCATCATAATCAATACTAGCCTGCTGAGAGTAACCATTACACACCAATCTTGCCTTATTCCTGATAACTGATCCCTTCTTATCCATTTTATTTCTGAAAATCCACTTTAAGCCAATTACATTCTTGTCTTCAGGTTTGGGAATAAGTGTCCAGGTATCATTCTTATTAATTTGATCAAGTTCTTCGTGCATAGTAGCTAACCAATCTTTACTTTTCTGAGCTTCAAAATAGGACTTTGGTTCAATGGATGACAATGTAGCAAAATGGTTGTATTCTTCACTGTCTTCAACTTCTAAATCATTTAGCTTCTTTTTGTTTCTTGTTTCCAACTTGAGGTGAACCAATGATGTTTTCAGCTTGAACCTGCTTTTGCAGCACTGGATAAGTGGTTTCTGTTAGATGTTCAGGCTTAGTAACTGAGGAACTAATTTCATTTAAACCATAAGTATTGTCATAGTTTTTAAGAGGTGTTGACCTAGGATTCTCATCAAACTTCACATGAATCGACTCAACCACTTTTGAAGACCTTAGATTGTAGCACCTGTAAGCTTTATTTCTGGTAGAATACCCCAAGAATATGTTGTCATCTACCTTGGAATCAAACTTGCCCAAGCTATCAATGTGGTTCAATATATAACATTTGCTACGAAATATTCTAAAGTAGTGAACAATTGCAAGTCTTCCATAACACAATTCATAAGGTGTTTTGGTTGAATTAGGTTTGAGAAGAACCTTATTTATGATGTGCACAGCAGTATTCAAAGATTCAGCCCAAAAACCCTTTGCTAGACCTTTTTCTAACAGCATTGTTCTGCCCATTTCTTGAACTGTCCTATTTTTTCTCTCCGCTACCCTATTCTATTGAGGAGTAGCTACAGCTGAGAATTCTTTCTTATTCCCCTTATCATCACAGTAGTGCTTAAATTCTTTCATGATGAATTCAAAACCAAAGTCAAACCTAAGTCTCTTCACAATGCTACTTATTTCATTTTCAACCAGATTAACAAACTTAATGATGTGTGAAATAGCTTCTGATTTCTCTTTTAGGAAGTAAACCCACACCATTCTACTAAAATCATCAATAAGAAACATAAAGTACTTACTTCCACCAATGTTAGTACTTTTGGTAGGACCATAGAAATCCATGTGTATCAAGTCAAGTGCTCTTGAGGTGTTGATTTCGTTTAAAGGAAATGAAACTTCGGTTTGTTTTCCTTGTTGACTGGCTTTACAGAGGTGATCATCTTTAAAATTGAGTTCAGGAAGTCCTTTGACAGCTTTTTAACTTCAAAATCTCGGACAAATTTCTTGAATGGAGATGCCCTAGTCTCTTATGCCACATATTTACTTCATCACAGGTTGTCAAGTTGCATTGAGTAGCTTAGAATTCTTCAGTGACAGTATAAACATTTCCTGAAGATCTACATGCTGAGAAAAGAACTTGTTTTGATTTTAAATCAATGACATTACACTTTTCTTTATCAAAACACACAAGTAAGACTTCTTGAATCTCAGGTAATTCTTCAGATTTACTCACAGTGCCAATACCAACAATTTTAGCCTTCTTATTGTCTCCAAAGATCACATCTCCGCCATCAAATTGTTTCAAAGTGAAAAATTTAGAACCATCACCTGTCATGTGTCTTGAGCAGCCACTGTCAATATACCATCTATCCACTTTGTTACAAGCCTTGAAAGCTGTATGCACAAGTAGATTCACTGAGTTTAACTTCTTGGGAATCCATTTTGGATTTCACAATATAATCTTTGTTCTTGACATTCTAAGCTTGACCTATATCAGACTCCTTCTTGTACATTTTAGTCACTTTGAAATACCTTATAGATGTTGTAACAAAATCACTTCTGCTTAGTCTTGAGGAGTTGAAATTATTGTTAAGAAAATTAAATTTTGATCTCAGAGGTTTTACAATAAGACACCTTGCATACATTTCACCAGTTGTGGCTTCAACAAACACAGACTGAGTTTGATTGAACTTTTGTGGTTGTATCACACACATAACCAATTCCAGTCTTCCCAATTTACTTTGTGGATTATTTCCAGATCTCAACCATCTTTAGGGATCTCTCTTCAAGAATGAGAGACAGTTATTCTTTACACTTCTTGGTAGATCACTGAGTGTTGATTTGAGGTTTCAATAGGCTTTGAAAGGTAAGAGAAATTGAATACAACATTGACAGTTTAAGTTTAAAGTGTTTAGTGAGAACTTATTTGGACTTTAATAATTCTGAATTGAGACTTTTTATCTGAGACTTCTGTTGATTACACTTCACTACAAGCCTTTCACATTCATTAAGAATTTCCTCAATCTCTGTGCCACTATCTTCTTCAACTTGAAATGGAATTTGTGTTGTTTCAAGAATAACCATAAAGAGACATTCATCTTCGTGTGTTTCCTCGGGTTTATCTTCTTCAGGAGCTATATCCCAGTCTGAGATAAGAGCCTTTCTACCAAACCTTCCTTTGTAATTTCCTCTTTCATTCTTCTTCTGGCTTTATCCCTTTGAGTTAGGACAATTATATACAACATGACAAGGTTTACTATAACCATAACAGGTTAAATTTTGTAGCTGATTCTTCTTTTTAAACCTAAACTTTCTGAATTTCTTAGCAAGGTAGGCTACCTCATGTTCTTTAAGATCATCCTCAAACTTTGTTTCAGTTTCTTTAACAACTTCCTTTGCTTTAAGAACAGCTTCTCTTTTGTGAATAGCTAGAATTCTAATTCTCATCTCATAGGCAGTGAGAGAGGCTTGAAGCTTATCAATCTTCATCTAAGAAAGATCTTTGTCTTCAAGAATTATTACTTTAGGATTGAATCTAGAAGTAAGTGACCTGAGTATCTTCTTACAAACATCAACATCTTTAATATCTTCACCAAGAGCTCTCATATTGTTGAAAAAGTCATTGATCCTGAACATATACTCAGCAACAGTTCTCTTTCTTCCATCTTACATGTAATGACCCGAGTTTTATTCAACCCGGTGCATCAATGATGACCCGAAAGTTAAACCAGTAAGGGATCCGAAATGCTTAAGAGAAAGATAAACTAAGGTCTCTAGGAACATAAATCATTCCTAAGACACCTATGTGACCATCCACGAAGTCACAGAACCTAAAGAAAATGAAGGAGCAAACGAGAGTCAAAACGAGCAAAATCTGTTAACTAAGGGTAAAATGGTTAATTTACAACTAAGAAGGGAAATCTGACCCTAAGCAAGTGAAATAAGGTCATCTGTAATGACCTGGTCTTTTTCCTTCCTTTACTTCTTCTCAGATTTTTACGGATATTTTTTTTTTTTTTTTTCGTTGTGTTTCCTTTCTGAGTTTGGTTTCTCGTTGATTAGTGTCGTCTCGAGTTCTCTCAAATGATTTCTGAGACTCGTTCATGTGGATTGACAACTACCTTTGAGGACCGAGTCATTTCCATATTTTTCATTTTTCGACACTATTCACCTTTTTGTCCTTTTCCCTATTTCGTCTTTTTTCCTATTTTGTCATTTCCCCGTTTGTGACTTTTTTTGCATATCCACACTTCTTGTATTCGAAGTTGGTTTTTGACTTCATGTATCTTTATCTTGAGTGGTTTCCATGAAATACGTATCTTCACTTTTACAAGAAAGTACTCTGGTTGCTCCCGGTATCCGTAGAGGCTTGGATGCAAAGTTCTTTGGAATATTTTTCTTTTATTGGGGTGCTTTTCATAAATATCTTTTGAAGATATTTTATTTCAGGGGTTTTTAAGAAAATATTTTTGGAAGATATTTTCAGTCTGGGCCATAAGTGCAGTTTTCACTTTTTGGAGGGGCCATTGTTTAATTAATGAAAGTTATTACAAAATGTCTTGTTTTGAGCCTGAATCCTTGCACGGGATTCATTTTCACATTTCGTCGAGTTGTGTACTCTTGGAATTTTCTCTTGGTCGATGTTTTCCAATTTCAGGGTTTTTGGCCCGAGTTTGCACCAAACTTGTTTTAGGCATTACTTTCTGCTCAGGACTCATTTTTTGACACCGTTTCTCCGTTATTCATATTTTCTCATTTTGAATTTTTTTTCATTCATAGAGTTTTGCCATTTGAGCGCGTCAGCTCAAATTTTACTTTTTCGGACCCGGCTGGGCCCGTTCGGGGCACTTTTTGAGATTTCTATAAACAGGGGGTTAAGATATTTTATTTTATTTTATCTTCCCCACTCTCTTTTGAGCTTCATTCCTTTGTCAGAACACAGTAAGGCCTTTGCATTTTGTGTTCGTTTTGACTACGCGCTTCTTTCACCCCTTTAGAACCCATTTCTAGCCAAATTTTGAGTTTGGTTTTTAGGGCAAGTTGTGATTTTGATGGGGCTTTCATGGGGGTTATGTTCATGACGTTGTCCCCGACAAAACCTAGTACTTTCGTTGGATTCGGAGCCGTTCCATTTTGATGGCTTTTGAGATTTTCATCTCAAATTGAGGTAGGAAATGTTTTAGGATTTTATATGTGTTGTATTGAGTGTTTCTCATGATTATACAACTTATATGTATGCCTTGTATCAAATTTAGAAAGTTAGTAATTTTTATTTCTTTGTATAAGATTTAAAATTCATGATGATATATAACTTTGATTTGAATTGTGTCATGCTAGAAAA